AGACATACAACTAGATAATGATGAAACAATGGTTAGTTTTGATATAACCAGTCTTTATACTAATATACCAGTCAATATGGCCTTAGAAGCAGTTAAAAAAGAACTAACTGCGGATACTGAACTCAATCATAGGACAAAGCTGTCCATTGAAGAAATTATTTTAGGGATTCAGCTATGCCTCACATCTACTATATTTAAATTCCAAGGCAAAATATATAGGCAAACTGAAGGTGTAGCAATGGGATCACCAATATCCCCTATCGTAGCAGATATATTTATGGATAGCTGGGAAAATATGGCACTTAATACGTTTAATCCTACTCCAAAAATATGGTGGAGATATGTGGATGACACTTTCACAGTGTTAAAAACAGAACATATCTCTAGCTTCTTGACACATATTAACTCACTAGTAGAGGGGATAAAATTCACATTTGAATCGGAAGATGAACAAGGAGAGTTGGCTATGCTAGATTGTAAAATAAAACGAATAGAAGAAGGTAAACTTCACACTAGTGTGTATAGAAAACCAACGCATTCTAATAGATATTTAGATTTTAATTCGTCGCATCCGTTAACTGTTAAGGCAGGCTTAGTTAAGTGTCTAACAAACCGAGCCATAGCACTAAGTAGCACAAAAAAAGACCTAAACGATGAGATAAAACAGATAGAAGAAGCGTTGGTGTTGAATAATTACCCTTTAAAATTCATTAGGAAGATAACTAAAGGCCAAAAACAAAATAAAAATAAAAATAATTGTGGAACTAGTAATGACAACATAAATAAGAGAGAATATAAGTCATCGACAGTTATACCATATAAAGAGGGGACATCTGAGACCCTACGTAGGATTCTAAATAAAGCAGGAATTAGGGTGGCATTTAAACCTACAAACTCACTCAGGGACAAGCTCTGTAGGTTAAAGGACCCAGTGGACCCAATTAGACAAAATAATATAATTTACAAAATACCCTGCAATGACTGTGAGGTCAACTACATAGGTCAAACTAGTAGGTCAGGAATAGTCAGATTGTCAGAACATAAGAATTTAGCTAAGATAAGAATGGTTGACCCAGAAAAGATAAGTAATTTAGAAAAAAGCTCGGCAATTGCAATGCATGCATTAACACACAACCACACAATAGGGTGGGAGAGGGTTAAAATTCTAAAAAGTAATCTAGGTAGGTGGAGAGAGAGGTTGATTACTGAATCTTTGTTCATCGAATCTACACCCAACACGTGCAATAGGAATGAATCATCACTAATACCCGAAATATGGAAAATAACACTACCAATCAAATCAAGTGGAAATCAAGTGAAAAATAATGGAACTATATAAATGAATTTAGGAAGTCGTGTGATTACCTTGATATGATTATGAGCAATAAATTGTGCTCGAAACGTCATCAGTAAATATTACTGTATAACACTGTGAGACTCTATCAAAATAAAATTTACCCATAATGGAAGGATAAGGTTATGTGTTCAATTGACATAGAATCTTTATTCACCAATGTTCCCCTTAATGAAACTGTTGATTTCATTTGCGATTACATCACAAGCAGTGGGATAAACTTACCTATTCCTGTAATTTACATCAGAGACATCATCTTAATGTGTACAGAAAATATTAGCTTCACCTTTCAAGAAAAGGCATACAAACAAATTGATGGTGTTGCGATGGGTAGCCCTCTTGGGCCCCTGTTAGCAGATATGTTCATGTCGAAATTGGAGAGACAAATGCAAGGTATGCTTGAAGAATTTATACTGTATAAACGTTATGTAGATGATACTCTCATTATTGGTGATAGTATTAAATCTATTGAAAACTTTATTACTCTATTTAATCATATTCATTGATCAAACGAACAACTACAGGAAAATTAGAAACCCAAGTATACAGAAAACCAACGCACACGGATCAAATACTCAATTACAACAGTAACAACCCAACATCACACAAAATTAGCTGCATACGTACATTGTTCAAGAGAGCCAGGACTCATTGTAGCACTCCCGCCTTGAGGAAAATTGAAGAAAATCATCTTATGGACGTCTTCCAAAGAAATGGATACCCACGAAACTTCATCAAAAGACATCTACCCCCAGCTCAACCAACCAAATCAAAGGCCACCAGCGAAAACACAAAGAAAGTCGTCCTACCATATATAAAAGATATCTCCGAAATCACTGCAAGACTATTCAAACCTTTTGGAATCGATGTCGCTCATAAACCAACAAAGTCACTTCACTCAGTTCTATGTAAACCAAAGGACTCAACGGCAAAAGAAGACAAAACTAACGTCATCTACAAGATAAGTTGCAGCGACTGTGACAAACATTACATTGGTCAAAGTGGACGCCCTCTTCGTCTTCGCATTCACGAACACAAACTAGCTGTCAAAAGACACGACATACACTCCCTCATATCACTACATACAGACAACCACGGGCACCAATTCGACTGGGACAATGTTCAAATCTTAGACAAAGGGAACTGCAAAAATGCCAGAGAATTCCTAGAGGCCTGGTATTCAAATGAATCAGCAATCAATAGACACATAGAGATTGACAAAATATACCAATCCATACGAAGAAATTCACACAAAAACAAAGTCAAACTTCAGGTCAAGGAAACAGTCAACACCAAAACAAGTGAACTAGAAAGTGAGAAGTCACACAAAAACAACCAATCACGTTCAAGGTTAGCAGAAGGAATGACTAACGACATTCAGACCAAAGAAGCAGCCAGCACCGAGACAAGGAAACTAGGGGATGAAATGTCACACGAAAACAACCAATCACGTTCAAGGTTACCAGAAGAGATGACTAATAAACTCATAGAGAATTCTAAAAGCTCACTTCACATCGAAGTATGCGCTGAAGATGTTGCTCAGTAGAGCAATGAAAGCTTCGCAACCAAACCATCCAGCTCAGAGAACACAACCACACCAAAATCATCCACCTGAGCTACAAATCTTCTCCATTATATCTAGATTCAGAATGATATCGCTAAAATAGCAGCTCTTTGCCGAATGTCTTTTCTTCTTTATATGACTTAATGGGGATTTTTAAGTTGCCTAATGAAGGTTTGTTTGTCTTGTTCTTCAGATCGGATCATGGTCGGCCTTTTACATTTTCATCTGTGACGCCGCCCGCAACTGTAGTTGAAAGAGTGTTGCCCCATTCAAGTGATGATAAATTCATCGCGTCTTGTCTTCTGAAGATCACTTTTATTATTTGTCTCGAAAATGGAATTAATTTTCAGATGCTTTCATTGCCTCAATAGAGGTATCCAGTCAGTATTACCATCCATATTATTATTATTATTGTTTCCTTCAATTCCTAGAGGAACATAGGGCTTCAGCCAAACGTCTCCATTGCGTTTGGTTCTCGCCTGGCTCCAGGTCTGCCCCAATGGTTTCATCTCCTCTTCACATCACCTCCTCCAGGTCACCCTTAGACGACCAACTCGCCGCTTCCCTTTCGGGTCCCACTCGAGGGCTTGTCTAGTGATGTCACTTGATGGTTTCCTCAGAGTATGGCCAATCCACCTCCATTCCTTCCTGCATATTTCTTGCACAACTGGTTCCTGCTGGGTTGGTCGCTCATTGCCAGAGATCCCTCCCCGGTGTTGATCTCTTTTGGCCCGCCATCTGATCTGGAGCGAAGTATTAAGTGAAGACAGCTGCTGATGAACTTCAGTAGTTTGTTTGATGTGCTCTTTATGGCGTGCTAAGTCTCTGGTCCGTATAGTAGGTAGCGCTGACTTAATATTGGAGTTGAAAATCCGGATCTTAGTTTGATTTTCATGCTGAGTGCTGTTGACCTCCACACAGACTTGAGAGTAGTGAAAGCTTGTCTTGCTTTTCCGATTCTTGCTTTGATATACTCGTCGGTTCCGCCTGTAGTTGAAACGATACTTTCAGGTCCCTCCCATTTATGCTGATACTATGATAGTCTTGACTAACCAACCAGTACCTGCGGTTGATCTGAATCATTTACAGTCTGAAAGGAATTACTGTAGAACTTATCTGAGTGGCCTTACAACAAAGCTGTAAACTAAACTAAACTAATTATACAATCGTGAAAATTATGTCATCAGTACCACACAAACGCACACACACAAACGCACACACACACACACACATGTGCAAATAGTATCATTCACTCTTACCTTCTGCATCCAATAATCTTGGTATACCCAATCTTTGCTCGGCTACACTGAATGCATATTCTAAATTTTCACGATTTTTACGACATTTATTAACCTGTTCCATGTCAATAAGACTTGGATTAATGTTATGCACCAATGCACAGAAGGCTTTACCATCACGCCAACTTGAAGCAAAGTCTGTCACTCGAATCTCCAGTGTTCTATATTATAACACATAAAAGTTTAAAATAAGAAGTGTTAGAACAAAGAGAAACTAAGCAGAAATGCATAAAACTGCACACTACTGAATGATTGAGATGAGTAGTTTATATACCAACTCACATCAACAGTTGTGGGTGCTAGTCAGTCGGATCGAACACCAGGGCAAGCCTCTCAGAGGTGTACCAAGTTCCACTCTGCTCAGAGAATCGAGTCAGCTCAAATAACGTGAATCCTGACTAGCCCACTTGAGCGGACTGGTCATAAATGGAATCAAATTTGCAATAGGCAATTTCAGATGATATGAACCGATTCGACTCTCCTCCTCTCTCACTCTCTGAGTTTAACAAAATCAAATTTGGGGCCCTGAGATTATATCTCGACAGCTTTTCCTTCACCGGTCCAAGAATCTCTACCAGTCAATTCACTTAGCGATTGAATGATATGATTAATTTACCGTATCTCATATTTGACGGAATGGAACATCTTGTTTGTGTAACTTAGGTAAACCGTGCACGCTCAGCATTATAGAACCAAATGGGCAAAGTTGTTAACACATAGTTCCATACTAATAAATAATTCATCTCTCATTTTCTTTCTGAGTGCTTGTCAGTTGCAGCTCCATCTATTCACAGTGGGATCCTTTTGAGGCGACTGTTGTTATCATCACGTGTTTAATCCCTATTTGTGATCGTGTCACTTGTTATAATTCGACCCTCGACTGGAAACAATTCTGAAACTTTCCCAACCCGCTACTATATATGTATGAATATACACGAACGTAGAGCCTAGCCGATGACTTCGTTGAGAAGAAAATTGTCTTCTTCTTCTTAGCTAAAACCATCTTTTGAATTTAATAACGGAAAAGTCAACTTCCCGAATGTGCATAGGACTTAAAATTGTTCAAAAAAATAATACCCCAACCACCGTCTGTCTCCCATAGATAAAATAATAAGAAAAACTCTCTATCATATAGTCTACTTCAAACTTTGTGTAACTGGCGCCTCACTAGTGTTTATTCAAATCCCTTTCTTACATTCTAACTTTCTGTGGGACAGACTGCTGAGATTAAGAGAATGGCATTTAAAATAGGCGATTAGAATTACGCAACAGAGTGGAAATCATGTAATCACAAAAAAAGAACCAAACTATGAGGCATTTCAAAAACTTCAACTTTGAAAAGGTGATTATACTGAATAACGAATGTTACGACGAACAAGCTTCCCTGTTGTTAGCCGTGAAGTCACGATTTATGCATCCACTGACATGATAACTTGATTGGACAGTTCTGATTCGTCTACTTATGGCTTAATTTTCTGAGGGTTATGATGTCATACTATGGTGAGAGCTTTCTGATAGCCCAAATTGGTAGACAGTAATTAATTCATTTCACATTAATGTCATCTTGGTCATGAAAAAAACCAAAAACAAAGACTAACTACTCAACAACCAATAACAGAAGACTTTGTGTGGGCGGATGCGATTCGCAGCTATGTGGTCTGACCTTCAAAGAAACGCCCACAAAGAGATGACAGAATAACTTTCAGCGAGAAAACAACCAATTGAAAGACGCTGTTTCTCTGCTAATAATAATGTACATAAAAATCTATAAATATCTGTTGATACTCTCAACAAACGATCTGCTGGCTGGCCCTTGTCTTCTGTCGTTACAATACGACCAATCAGATTTCTGTCTTTAATGGCTTATATTTCTGAGGTCTTGTAAATATATGACAGATTGTGTATTTTGTCCAGTGAGCTTTGTCTCGGCTGCTTTTTGTTGCTGTCAGTTGTCGTCATTTCTCCCAATCTGAATTTCGTGTCGATCTCACTCAGTGTGAGGGATATATACAAGTGATCAGTTGTTTATGGTGTCGTGTCTCAAAAAGCATTCTAGTCAAGTTAAACGATTGTTACAATCCAGTAACACTCCGTCATAACATATTTTGGTGAATGGGGAAGGGATTCTGAACCCCCACAACTCACGTTTATAACACCTATCTCTTTTTAGTCATACTAGCCAGACTGTATTACGCTGTCTGATTGCCACTAAGGTGGAATTGAATGAAATGAGGTGCCATCTAAATTTCAACAGAAAAAAAACTTACGATTTATGCGATCGAAAGGATTGTTCCAACCAACTTAATAATGCTTGTCGAGTTTTAGACCCTGTCTCACTTTTAACACTATCCGTCTGTTCAGATAGGCTAGTATCTCCAGAATGACCACCACCGCCATTAGTTGACTCAGCATCAATAGACTTCGACAGACTTTTACGACGAGATTTTAAAACCTGTTTTAAAACTTTCTGTTGACCATGAATCTGCAGAGAAGGAAGCAAAGAAACAAGAAATCGATATTTCCATTAAATTCTCTTTTCAAAGACAAAATCAAAATGTCTTCTGCATAAAGTTCTCATTATTATTTAGAACTACTGACTGAACTTACGCCTGTTAAAAAAAAGTCGTGGATACTTAGTCAATTCAATGTTCCACTTGTAAAAGCAATTGAAACTCACACCTATCTATAAATCCCTATCAACGGGAACTGGGATTCCAACGAATGGAATTCATGCTTGACAGAAGACTGGAGAACACGATTACATTCAACAGGGAAATCCAAGTTGCTGCTGACAGAGTAAAGGATCACCAATTAAGTTCGCTCAGTCTTCTGTAAAAGCTCCGTATTGACTTATGTGTTCTCGATTACATCACACAAGGATATGCATTATTTGTAGATTATTTTTGATTGGACACTAGTCAGTAAATAGTGTAATGTGTCTAGTTCTGTCTTCGGTGCAGACTGAATCCTATCAGTCATGTTTGCAATGTGGCCACCATTCTAGGTGGCTCGCCATTACGGTGCACTGTGAATTGTTGGCATTAGATGGTTGGAGGCAATCGGCAGGAAGCCTTGGACCTAGGTTTCATGCTAGTTGGCACTCATCAGCAAGGCACATGAGCAACCTTGAAGGAACTCCTGACGATTGCCTCCAACCATCTAGTACCAACAATTCACAGTGCACCGTAATGGCGAGCCACCTAGAATGGTGGCCACATTGCAAACATGACTGATAGAATTCAGTCTGCACCGAAGATAGGACTAGACACATTACACTAGTTACTGATTATTGTGCAATCAAAAATATCCAATATAGTCCTACAGGAGGTCAGCCGCGAGCCTGAATAGCTCAGTGGTAACGTCTCTGACTGCAGCACTGGGTGACGCGGGTTCGAATCTCAGAAGGGACATGAGTTCCTTCAAGGTTGCAGATACGCTTTGCTGACTAGTAATGAGTGCCAACTAGCACGAAACCTAGGTCCAAGGCTTCCTGTGGCCGATTGCCTCCAACCATCTAATAACAACAGTAGATTATTTTCCTAAAACTGACTGCCTGAGGGGTTAAGTTTTAACATAGAAATTTGCACACAAAGTGTACCACTTCAAGTTGCCACACTCCACGGATCACACGAAAGTAGAACTAAAGAAATTTCAAACGGCTATAATAAGCAGAAATGTGATAGAGAAAGAATAATAACACAGAAAAACACTAGAGTTTAGTAGATGTAGGATATTACAGAGAGTGAATGCACTTGAGGCACTTAGAACGATTTTGAGCTATATCGCCAATAGTTTGAAAGCTACTGCTTGTTGCCATCCCGAAAACTTTAATCAACCGGACAGCCTACACCTCCCTATATGACTCAAATTAAGTGTCGCTGATTTCATGGAGTGATGACAGATTTTGATTTCACCACAACTAATTCCTTTCCGACTTGATCCTATACCAGCTAACAATTCCCGTTGAGGGAGGTGATGGCTAGGCATTCGATTTAATTACCCTCCGTACCTAACCATCAATTCTCAAACTCATTATTACTCACTATATTGTACAAATTAATGGGGGAGGTGGTACGCAGACACCTGTTATCAAGGACTGCTAGACGACATTTACATGCCTTCCACTTTCAATAGCTATGTCTCACTACTCATAGCCATAATGGGGGATAGAGCGAACTGCTGGGCAGTACACATGTCTTTTGATCAACAGCCAACCGGATACGACGTCTACGCCTGAGATGACATAAGTATCCGTGCTGAGATTTAGTCAGCAATTAGTCCGTTGAATGACTGAGTGGTAAAGAACTCCAGAAAAAACGAAGATGGAAAGTGTGCCTTACAACACAGAATTCTTGGTTTTGTTCGAAGAGTGATCGTTAAAAATATCTGAAGTAATTCACCTACTGATTATTCTCATTTCCAATCCGTTGGTATACCATTATTAAATAGTGTATTATCTACTCACTTCATTTGAAAGTAGTATATACTTTACACCATAAGTAATCTTGTGTTAAATAATAGAAGTAGAAACAAATCAAAAAAAAATCTTTGCAGAATAACTAATGCCGTTTTCACATTACCACACCTGTATAATACGGTCAGTTAGCAGTCGGTTAGTTGCTTTACTAATTATTTTATCAATAAAAGTGGAAATTACGAACAAAGTTCTACAGTCTAGTGCAGGTTTGCGTGTTGTTTATCCTAATATGACGATAGAAAAAGGAGTAACGACAAATCCACGCATACAGAGACTACTGATGTATATTTGTACACATTATTTAATAAGTCGGTTGACTTAAGTGTAATGAGTTGTCTGTATCATAATATTAACCACCTGACTACCTACCTAACTACCCACTTACCTAGCCCCTCCCATTCTCACCAACCCATAGGGCATCAGTGTCACTACCACCACCACCATCAACCTTCGTCCACACTATACAACACAAATATTTGACAAGCATATCCTAGCCTTTGTTAATTTGCATGCTTCATTTAGACCTATACATCTCTTTCTCGTGAGGACAAGCGTGTGAACGCGCGCACACTAGCTAGCTAGCTTGCTACCTCTATATAAGACCACATGTTTATTGAACAGTAAACATAACAAAATCTCTATATTCTCAGAACTGAATAGGTATTCTATTTGCTTTTTGTTTTACTAATTGGTTGAGTTAATTCAGTCATAGCCCGGGGGGGAGTAATAATTTAACAAGTCAAACTTTATTTTCTATCGGTAAACTTCTGTGTATAGGACAGTTTTCAAGGGTATTATTCATTTTACACTTTTTGATCACAAGGCGACATCAGTTAGAGAACTATTGGAAAACCAGAGAGGCTCTTCAACAGTACTCACATACCTGGGTTCAAGTCCGGGACCTGTCGGTTATAAGGAGAGCTCGCGAATTATTCAGTCATTGGGACTCGATCCAATGATCAGTACATAAATTCCACCTTCTGTCAATTCGCGATATACATAGTGCAATCACCAGTCAATGTTATGGGCGAATAAATGTTCTCTCTTGTCGGATAAGAATCGGGTCCAGTGGTTGAATTATATATGCGCTTGCCTTATAATTGGAGGGTTCTGGGTTCGATCCTCCGTGCGTGCGTAATGTTGAATATGAGTGCCAAACTAGGAAGAAACAGCTGCCCAGTACTCCCTATCGGTTCCCCAATGCTTCTGTAACAAACGTCAGCTCGTGATCAAATTGAATAACAAATCAAAGTTAGTTAGGGACCACTGGGACAGCCGTCTCACCCTAGTTTGGGAATCTCCTTCACCAGTGTGCACCAAGATCTTCAGATTACTAGCCCAAGCTCGCTGACTACTTAGGTTGGAATTCATTGACCATTGAACTCTAACTTCTGTGGATGTTCTGGGCTAGATCCCCGGTGGAGGTGTAGGCGCAAACTGGTAAGGAGCCCCTCTGTAGGAGGAAACAGCCATTTTGCCGTTCTCCTCCCTAATTTTCAATGTTTTCTAACTCACATTGGTTTGTTACAAAATCTGTTTTGAAATTAATCTGAATTCGTATAATAAAAACCAATAATGTTTCGGCATCTTGAAAATGATCCAAGACTGAGGTGAAAGAATGAATTAACATTTACTGTAACATTGTACATCCTACATTAATATCATCAAGCACACTATACATTGAGGTGGATTGACGTTTTATCTCAAACAAATATTCACAATGAAGGTAAATTCCTCGATATATTTCTACCCAGGAAGGTTGTTTTACGCGGACTTTTAATTTTCTTTTGATAAATAGTAGTAGCTAAGGAAGGATGGAACTTCAAACGTGCGCTTCGTCCATATTTCAACACTCCTCATCCCTGGATGTGCATGTACAAGTGAAGGTGATCCTAGATTCCAACCATTAGCCACCATGAAACCAAAAAAACATCATGTTAACCCTAAGACATCGTTACAGCATCTCTAGTAAAAGCCGACAAGTCAAACAAAGAACACGTGCTCCAGAGCTCAATATAAATCAATAATAATCGGAGAAAAATTCAGAAATCATCATTCCATTAAGTAACGCAGAATCATTATCCCAAATGAAATGCTGGTTCATAAATGAAATGGAGAAGAAATCAAAAAAATCAGATTCAACCAAGATATCTTTACAATGAGTTTTGAAAAAGAATGGGGAGGGATACTTTGTAACAAAATGCAAGTATTTCGAATGGACCTACAGCAATTCTGGCTGTTCTTTAGAGCTGTACAGTAATAGATAGACTGGCCAACTGAATAATGGTTTGATACAGAATAAGAAACAGAAATGCATCAATTCGCCAGTTTCAGCTACACACGTCACGGATGATATCAGAGTCAAGATCGAAGAGGAAAGATATATATACATTACACTGAAATCAGTGTAGAAATCTGCTAAAATCAGCATAAACAAGATGATAAGGATTTTCGACACTAATTCAAACTTCCATAGAGAAGACACTTAAGTCAATCCAAGAACTGGAGCGGAATTATGCTCCTGTCCATCCCCAGCAAAATATTAGGTCGTATCATCCTGGAGAGAATCAAACACGCCGCCCTGGATGAAAAACTTCGACCTGAACAGGCTGGATTCAGGAGAAACAAGTCATGCATCGATCAAATCGTAACACTACGGATCATCATTGAAAAGAGCTTGGAATGGCAGTCACCTCTCAACTCAACTTCATCAACTTTGAAAAGGCGTTCAACAGCGTCGATTGAGAGGTGATTTGGTAACTACTTCGCTACTACGGGGTGCTGCCAACAATTACAGACGTCATCCAAGAGTTGTGCGATAATACTGTATGCCAAGTAATCCACAACGGAAAACTCTCGGGATCCTTCGAAGTGAAAACGGGAGTAAGACAAGCTGGCTGGATGCCTACTATCTCCAATGATTTTCCTGATTGCGGTAGACTGGATAATGCGACGGAGAGCGGGCAACGACTAGACAGGACATAAATGCACCCACACGAAAAACTTAGAGGATCTGGACTTCGCCACTGATATGAATTTGATTTCCCACAAACTGGAAGATATGCAAATGGAAAGCAACAAGTTGACAGAAGAAGCATCAAAGATAGGACTTCCTTCAGGGGGACATAGAGAAAACGCAGGTGATGGAGATTCCTGGCGAACAACAACAGCAACAACAACAGACAACAATCAGCCAGCATAAATGGGAGAAATCTGAAAGAAGCAACCTACTTTACCTTCCTATCTGGGAAGCATCGTTTCAACTACAGGCTGATGGAACTGATGGGAATACCAAAGCAGCCAGGATCGCGAAAGCGAGACAAGCTTTCATTAGTCTCATGTCTGTGTGGAGGAGATCAACAGCACTCAGCATGAAAAATAACATCCGGATTTTAGACTCCCATGTGAAGCCAGTCAGTGCTACTGACTCCACGGATCAGACACCTAGCACCGCGTCACGAAGGCCACTTCGAACAAACCACAAAACCTTCATCAACAGCTGTTTTCACTCAATACTACCCAAGATTAGATGGCCGGTCAAAAAAGATCAGCAATAGGGAGGGATATCTGGCAATGAGCGAACCAACCCAGCGGGAACCAATTGTGCAATAAATATGCAGGAAGAAATCGAGGTGGATTGGCCATACTCTGAGAAAACAAACCATAATCAAGTGACATCACACGCCAGGCTATCACTCGAGTGGAACCCTAACAGGAAGCAGAGAGTTGGTCGTCAGTGAGAGGGTGACATGGAGGAGGTCATGTGAAGAGGAGATGAAAGCATGTGGGCAGATGTGGAGCCAGGTGAAAAGGTTGGCAGAGAACCGAACGCAATGGAGACGTTTGGCTGAAGCCCTATGTTCCTCTAGTAACTAAAGGAAACAATAATAATAATGTCAAATCAGTCAGTGGCTCTTTGTGATTCGGAGACTTGCCACGTGTCACCTTTCAAACAGGCCACTGCATACTTTCATCAATAGCTGTCCCTCTTCACTGAGTAAAAACTGAAGATCAGATAGCCAGTCAGAAAGGATTAGCAACCGGGAACTCTGCAGTGCAATGAAATAACTAAAAACCTATTGCCTAAACAAAAAAATGTTCCGAAGGAAATGCAAATGGATAAAACACTCTGAGAAGAGACTGCTGAATGACACTGCACACTAGACAGGCAATCTCTCAAGTGAAATCTGAAGGGGAAACGATGAGTAGAGAGGGTGTGAGTCCGAGAGTGACATGGAGGAGATCATATGAGGCAGTGAAGATGAGAGCTCATAGTCAATCGTAGGCCTAACTAAAAATGACTTCAGAGAACAGGACAAAATGGAGATGTTCTGTGAAGCCCTATGTTCCACTAGGAACCCAAGGGAATAATAATAATAGTAAAAGTAATATATGACAATAATATGATTGCAAAACAGGTTTTAACCGCTTACTTGAAAAAATAATATGATTGACCAGATAAGGCCTAAAACGATAGCCGGTTTCCCGTCGACTACATCTGAAGGATTAATATTTACAAGTTTTATCTATAAAAATCAATTACAAAAGAAAATGAGAAAAATAGGAGAACTTCAATGTTTTAATCGTTAACAAAAAAGAAAGGAAAAAAACGTCTTACAGCAGAAAAATTCAATATATGTTCGACAGATTTGATTTGTTTCAACTCTGATTATGGATCGACAACCTGCAGGGAGTACTGGGCAGCGGATTCGTCCTTGTTTGGGAGTTCTCTTCACCAGCAGGTGCCCATGATCCCAGCCGGGAATCGAACCCAGTGATAATTGCCAGTTATTTTATCCAACATATCAGGAATGACTGAAATAACCACAAGATTACAACAACCAGTAATCGCCACCTACTATGTACAGTTCTCAAGCGTACTTATTCTAACCAGCTCTTCAATTCACTTCACAGTTGCGCAATGCTCCTGTTAGCCTAGTTCTTGTACATAGTAGTCCACTTAAAAAAAGCAAGCGTTAGGTTGAAAACTAGAAGGCTAATAATGTAAAATCATGTTTACACAAGTGTTGAATTGCGTCAGTTAGTTCACTGGTGGAATGCTCTCCAGGTACGTGGGAGCTCAAAATTCGATTCCAGGTCGACGCACTCCTAAACCTAACCTAGTCCGATAGTAATCGGGGAAAAAAGCAGGGGGTGGAAGTGAGGCTAGTAACCCCACCGCTACTGAAATTCTAAATTTTGAAGTCATATTCTCCACTAAGAACGCATAGAATGAGAAAAACAGTTACAAGTTTTGTTTTCAAGTGTTGGTTAGTACGAATTTGATTTATTCCAAGATAGAGATCACTTCACGAACCAACACATTATTTACAAAACCATTGGTTACGTGCCTTCTCCTAATTTAGGAGTCATCCAGTAGTTCACATCGGATTGAATGCCAACTTGGTGTGACTGAGCTGTCAAGAGGTTCTTACCCTGTAAAGCCTATGTTTCATCCCATTTAGGATAAAAGAGCGGAAAAAGATGTTGAAGAGTCCCACAGTAGGACGAAACACCCTCCTAATAATGGTCTGTCTAACTATTAGTTAGATACGAAATCTACTTTGGAAAAGTCCACTTATTCAATCTTGTTAAACATTAACATTATCAGAATGGGAACTACTTGAATATGGTTAAAAGTAATAACTATAAAGTCAGTCTTCGTTTAAGCGTATAGGTTAGTCATGAAATGAATGCCTAGATAATACTATGATTAATTTCATCAGTTAGATTTTGGTGATGAACCAACACCAGATAGAGAAGTTATTGGGAACCACCACCAGAGAGAACTGAACATTTACTTCGTCCTATTTTGGGACTCTCCAGAAATATGCACTCACGACTTCCCACACCCAGGGATCAAATTCGGGACCTTCAGGTTATAAGACCAGTCTCAAACGAGACCAATCAGTCACTTGGGCCGGAATTCAACTTTGCCAACTCATACTATAGCGCTACTCTGGCCAAAACCATCACAATGAGCATCCTGCTTTCCTTGACATGGTAAACCCCACTGGTCACGACTTCCCACTGCAGTTTCAGGAAATCCACCCAGTAATCATCACCAGTAAACTAGCAATTGATATTCTATGATTAGTAAATTGAAATGACTTGTTTTGCTATAGCTGGAGGAAGTGAAGTTCAGGACACCAGTTATGCCTCCTACATGGGACCCGTTAGCTAGATGTTTGAAATGATGGGTGTTGTGGGGTTCGAGCATTAGTGATTAAACTGTCATCAAACTCACAGAGGAGCAGGTATATGTATCTAGTTGACAACCGCGCCGAAACTGGACGAAATGTGCGCCCTAAATTCCACAGTTAGACGCACACATTTATAATTCAGTACGCATCGGTAGTTCAGTGATAGGATACTCACCAACCAAACCATACGTGATAGCGGTTTCGATCCACGGCTGACGTACTCTTCCTTGACCTATCAACCTAACATAAGTCTCGGATATTTAATTGTAGATTAACACACACACACACAGGCCAGACTAACATGAAAACTGATTACGTGTGTGGTGTCAGTGGTTCGACAATAGAATGCTCACCCCTACCACGGACACCGGAAGTTCAGGTACGATTCCTGGCCGACGAACTCTTAAACCTCACCTAGCCGATAGCAAACTCGGAAAAAAAAGGAGAAGAAACATTGGCGGTGAGGCTAGCAGCAACTCCAACCTCGTGAAAACACAACACCACCAACAGCTAATGGAACATCAAAAAGCTTGAAGGCCTTCTCCTATCCATATTCCACTCGAAGTACAAGGAATGAAGATATATACATGTCATAGTGATAAGGAGAGTATAAATACAGAAATGAATTTTGTTTGTTACCAAGCAATGACTTACTTTACATTTCTTTTCTAAATAATCCAGTGCATTACGAACATTACTAAGTTTATGAGCTCTTTGTAGGACACGAGGAGTTTCAATTTGCTGAAAATTAAAAAAAGAAAAAGATAAATAAATGAAATCAAAACAGTATACAAAAAAAAATCTTAAAATTCAAAAAAAAGAAAAAATTCCAAATTCGAAAAACAATACTCATCTATTCATATGAACTGTGATCAAGATTTGACCGAATAGTTCCAAATTAATTGGGTCAAATTTCAGCGAAATTGAAATGAGTAATTCCAACGTTTCGTTCGGCAATCTGGTCCGAACTTCTTCAGGGAAACTAATCGAAATTAACATAACAGAGGTGTTTATAGATAAAAGGACATCTCTATTCAGCACACCCCTTTACCACTAAGAATCTGATTAACAGAGCCAAGCGTCCAGTTACTGAGGAGGAAGTGATTAGCAAGGAACTAAAATTGGTTCAATCCACTCTTGAATCAAATAATTATCCTAAAGCCTTCATAAAAAGATACTTAAAATATGAAGATAAGGATGAGTCGAACCTGTTGCAAAGTTTTGGGTTAGTACAACGCTGATTCCTTACTGCAAAGAAACATCCGATAAGATGAAGCGAATCCCTAACGATCATAACATTGGAGTGTATTTTCGTGCAACTAACAACACCTTACGCTCATCACTGGTGAAGGTTAAGGATAAAATAGAAGAAGACAACCAACAGAATTGTGTATACCAGATCAATTGTAGGGACTGTGACGCCGTATATGTAGGAGAAAGTCTGAGGTCAAATTTTTATCACAGATCATACAATTTTGTTTGTAATATATATACTTTGATACAGCTATTAGCATTAAATAGCGAAACGTCAGTAAAAAAAACAGTATCGTTTTGTTTCTCACTCATTGGGAAATACAAAAACCTTCATTATGTTGATACCTGTTTCATGATTCATATGATCGGACAAAGTTTTGAAAAAACAACAGTTGTTCCTTTTATATATAAACCTGTTATGTTAATTTCGACTAATTTCCCTGAAGAAGTTCGGACCAGATTGCCGAACGAAACGTTGGAATCAATCAATTCAATTTTGCTGAGATTTTACAAATATATATATACAACTAGAATAGTTCTGTATGTTTAAGTAATCGTATACCTGTAAATATTATCGTTATTTGTAATGTCATTTTTATCCTTATTGTTATTATTTTACTGTGTTCTAGCTGCCTATTTTAAACTTATTTTCATAATTTATGATACAATCTAGGTACTATGAGATGATAGCAGTGAGTAGTTGATGGTTCGATTGTAGAATGCTCACCCACGACAAGGAAGATGTACTCCAAAACCTCGTCTAGTCAGTCTACCAGACAACAGCAAGTCTGGAGAAGAGGGACTACCAACCTCACATTATCGCTACCGTAACTTCAAAGCTCAAGCTTCAAAACCTTATGTTCCACCCAGAAATGAGAATATAGTTATTTTGCTGTATCTCTACCTCTACCAGCATACATAATGTACTTACACAGACACAATGATTAACTGCCTAGATTATATAAACGCTTGCATAACATTTTAATTTACTTGAACTTTAGTCAGTTATTCTATACCGTCTAAAGACTTGATAACAGCGTAGCCATAAGTAATTTTAACAGACTGCTGCAGACTTTCATCAACAGCTATCTCCTTTGCTGGCTCCATACTGAAGATTAGATGGCCAGTCAGAAAGAATAAGCAACAGGGAACTCTGGGAACGAACCAATCAACAGTCTATTGCTCAACAAACATGCCACAGAAACTGTAAGCGGATCGGATACACACTATGAGGATTCCATTAAGTGACATCACAAATCAATTTTAATTTATTTTTTTGATTATAGCTTGAAACCCCACAGTATTTCTGGTACGAGTATGGAATTTTCAGCATATGATATCGGTAGCCTAAAGTTTGCAGGCCAACCATAGATTTCAGGTGTGCGTCGGCAGGGAATCGAACCCCAGACCATGTGCATGGTCGGCGAGAGTCCTAACCGCTGTGCTACCGACGGTTTATTGCTCAAGTAGAACTCGAATGGGAAACGACCAGTTAGACGTGGGTCCGAGGGTGATATGAAGGAAAAGGTGAGGGTATATGGGTAATTGATGAGCCAGCTAAAGAGGACACCATGGAACAGGATGAAATGAAGACGTGTTGCTAAAGCCCTATGTTCCACACTCGAAAACTAAGGAAATTTCATTCCACCGACCGCATTCGCATCTAATATCTAAGCCTAATAGCTTTAATATGTAATTAGAAAGACTGATGAGAAATTACGGAAGACACATATTTGCTTAAAATTGTCTTCCAACCCCCGCCCCTCCATCTCTAATTACCGTAATAAGAATATGTAAACCACATATGTGCATTTTTAATTCATAATATAGGATAATTTTATGGATGGTGATGCACGTTTCGTCCTATTTGGAACTCGTCATCTGGATGTACCTGTATTCCTCAGTGAGTGATGGCGTTTCTTCCACTGAGACTCGAACCCACTACCCATTGTTTCAAACGTAAAAGCGTTATCCACTGGACTACTTTGACCATAAGAACCATCACCTCGTACAACAGACATCAGTTATTATTTCGTGAAAAATCAATTTTTGATTGATTGAACCAAAATGTGCAGCATGTCGACTCCTAGGAATAAGGATGCTTCGATAATGTCTGGGGATTAACTTGAAGTATGTAGAGTTGAGTTATTTTAATTTCAGCGATCCAATGGTTGAATACTCGCCAGTCACGCGAGCTCACACACCCCCCAGGTTCGATTCCGAGTCGATGCACATCAGACAGCATCACATAGCTGACTAGCCGATAGTATTTTTATTTTTTATTCGTTTACGTTCCCAGTGGAACATTGGGCTTCAAGCTAGAGCAGTGGTGTTTATTTTTACGGGATGAGGTTGCTAGCCTCATGTCTAACCTTACTTCTTTACCAGTCTTATTACTGGCTTAGTAAGGTAAATGAGTGCGTCTGTGGCTGGGGATCGAACCCCGGACCACATGAGGTGTGATTGGCGAGAGTCCTACCTCTGTGCCACCGACGCACAGTCGACAGAAAACAAACAAAAAAGAGGGTTGGGTGTGAAGCTGGCAACTTCTCACCCTGTAAAACACGAAACAACACTATCACTAACAACTACTCAACTCAAACTTGATAGCTTGAATCCACCCCCCCCCCTCTGCTACAACACTTATGTTCCACTCGGAACCATTTCTCTATACCTATTCTTATTAAAGCACTGAAGGCCGCTGCTGCTACTGCTACGCATAGATAAACACTTTTGAAGAAATACTCTCTCTCTACATATGAATGAGTGAGTATAGTATACACCCTTTGACATGACAACAATTTGAAAGAGATTATGATAATTTTATGGGTAGATAGATGCAGAATAGAATAGAAGAGAATAGATATTGTAAACAAGAACTGGGACAGCAGCAACAACAACAACAGCGTCTGTCTCTAGGTCGACACACGCACAAATGGGATCTATGAGTCATTTGGCGGAAGAAGTATACAACAGGGCGTTACCTTACTTACTTACATAGGTGAGACGATAGTTACAATAATCAGCTTCTAGTCACTCACTCACTCAATCAATCAATCAATCAATAAAATAAATGTAACTGAACCGAAAAGCGAGATGAGATTAAATAATAACAGAAGGGTGGATTTGAAGAGGAAGGCCATACAGCAAGTCTGTCTATGTACTCAAACTCACACACACACACGCACACACATAAAAAAGTCAATGAATAATGATGTTATGGTATTGAATACACATAGTGTTTTTGAATGTAAGTCAGGCATAATACAACACTTATTACTAGTCTGATTTAATTATGATTACCATTAGTAGTAATAACGATGTCAGAAAGATATCCAATTAAATTAAATAAATCAATATTAGACAACAACAGCAGAGAGTAATAACAACAGTAGGAGTAATTAAAAAGGCACTACAAATATATATGGAGAGATACAAGCAGGAACGACAGATAGATAAGTAGATAGGCCGGTCATATGACTTTTGTCTTATTATAAGGCTATATGTATATATAAAACGGAAATCGATTACAACTCTTAAGTAGGGTAGTCAGGGTGATAGGTGGATATAACGGTGAATATGAAGGGGCGGGGTGGAAGGGGCAAGTAGACGTGAAAAGTGGGGAAAAAACTAGTAACAATTAATCTGTCAGATTATTTTAGTGAAATTGATACAAAATTTCTTTGTTTGCTTGTCTTTGCATATATATATATATATATATATATTATTCAACAGTAATATTTTTTCAGATAATGCATTTTTGATTTCGTCACGAACCGCAAAATCTCGTTAGACATATCATTGAAAAGCACAAAGGAATACTGGGCAGCTTTTTCATGCTATTCTTTATTTTGGGGGGGGGGAATCTTCAGCAATACACATTCACGAACCTAAGAGGTTACAGAACCAAGCGGGCTGACCATTCCCATTCAGCCCCTCCGGGAGGAATTCAATAATGGGAGGAATTAGGTTCAAAAAATATGCCTCAATATTTGAAGAAAAAAATGCATGATATAGCTCTATCACTGAAAACAAGAATCACTTATATTTAAGACTTTTCTTCACGACTTCCTTGAAACAATTGTTCACAAAAATAGTGTGGCGAGTGATACTAACAAGATTTATTAGTAGTATATAGACGCTGATTGATAGGAAGCAGCCAAAACTGCAATCAACATAATTCAGTGACTGTGGAGATAGGAGTGTTTATTTCTCAAATCTGAACATAGTTTACGTTGTGGTCACGAAATAATCTCATTGGACAACCTTCTGTCTGAAGATTTAACCTTCTGATATAACACCGTTGTAAATGTTATAACTGAACTGAAATGAATAAACCAGTCGCTACTTTGTTGTGTCTGCGCCTGTTAATTACTCTATAACAGTAATGAACTCGACTGATACGCTAATACGTCTATCAGTCTGTTGCTCCTTCCGATTCACTGAGCCACGCAAATATCAAAAGACAAAGGCTGGCCTGTGACTGT